ATAGCAGATCTACCCTTTACCAGTTCATTTCACAGGACAGCAGAATACAGTGAAATGGAGAGCATCTCCTTGGCCCTCCAGTCCGTCTACTGTAACGGGATCACTTTAAATACATGTGCGGATGCCACACAAGCCTGGAGTGACAGAGCAGTAAGGATGGGCTGGCCACGCACGCAATGTGAGCTTGCCAGAGTGCACAGACACACCTCCAAAGTTTAAACAGGGACAAATTCCTGTAGCTGAATGCTTTCTAGGCAGCACGTGGCTCCAAGTGTTGGTTTGCATTAGGAAACTACTGTGAACTAAGTCAGGGCACGAATTCAAAGCCCAGTGACTATTCTGCACCCCACGCTATTTCAACGCACTCAGGACATGCTAGATGCAGCCTGAGAGGTGCCAGCATAAGGGCGGTGCCTGTCCAGAAATCCAGGGCAAAACTGCAGCTGCAGAACAGTTATTTAAATTCCTTTCCTAGGTGAGCAACTGCTAGAAGGTACCAATCACGTGGAAGAAGAGCCGGGGACAAGTTCTTCCCACACCAGAGCGCCAGGAGGATTGTCCTGGGCCAGAAGCACATATACCCTCGGACAGCGAAGTGGCATGAAGAGCCGCAGCTGGGGGAGGTGGAGCAGGCCACATCTGCCAACCATAAGACAACCCGAGGGATTAATCTTGCTCTCAAAGACATAAGTTCTGCAGACAACCAGGTAAGAGTCACAAGAGAGCACAGCACCCAGGGAATCCAACCCACCCCTGCTCGAGCTTTAGGTTCTAACAAAACAACCCACCTGGCTACTCACCCGCCGTGACTCTGCCTTGCTGGGCTGAGCTGAAGCAAGCACAGCGTGAGTGTTTTTTGTTGGAGACAAAATTATCTAACAAGAGACAATTATGTGACATTACCATTAAAAGCAGTGTGTGGAAAAGAAAGCTTTCAGCCTGCCTATCCTGAGGTCTGCAAACCCCTTTCTCTACCTTTGGTCTAAATAGGTCTCATTTAGCCCCTTTGTTCTGTCCCAGCCAGGCAAAGTGAAAGTAGGGTTGATTGATTTGTTAATTACAGTAATTTTATCTTAAATACAGACAGCTGAGTGTTCATCAAGTCACAAATTCGCCTGTTACTGAGAGACCTCCCCCCTGCTAAATAATTAGGGATAATAAGTGGTTTGTAATAAATGCAACCCACAACAACGCACTCTGAGAGCACAGCGCAGAATCAGGAGGGCTATTAGGGAACCCCCAGGTCTATTTCTCCTTTTGAAGAAAACAATGCAATATCTTTAATTGTCTCTCTTTAAACCCTGAGCCAGCTCTGCTGGTTCGTTATAAGTAAAAGGCAATTATTCCACTTTCTGACTGCCTCTTGTGTCCAGAGAAGGCTTACTACAGAGTCATCAGCACAGATAAGAGCAACTTTCTCCGCCTGCACTGACTAGGCACATACAAAGAGCTGAGATAGGAGGTGACACGGGTGGGTTATGTATAACCATGCTTCTCAGGACTTCTAAAACTCTGGGTAAGGCTCAGAAGATTCAGTTTCAACACAAGTCACAAGCCGTCCACACACAGCTTGGAGCATCCATCCACACACGTGGACCAACATGAAGTACGTTCAGTACTGAAGGCTCCCGTCACCCTCTTTGGCACAGAAAAGGCAGGCTAGCGAAAGCTGAAGGCAGGGGAAAACAGCCTTTGGTTTTCAGCCAGCAAAGGATGGGGAACCACTGAAGCAGGTTTCTACTGCAGCCTGCCAAGAGCGAGGTTTGGGATGAGCGAGGAGAAGACAGCAGAGCTCGTGTGCATCTGCATCTCTTCCAAACCCTGCAAAACAAACAAAAAACCAACCAACCCACGCAGATACACCTACATCTTCCATTTCTATTAGTTTTCTTCCTCCTTTCCTCCTTTATCCCTAGTTAATTACTCCTTCAACTTCACCAGCCAGGCAAGTAGGGACAGCTAAGAGGGTCAGATAGGTGAAAACTTCAAGTTCCCTTCCAAGGACTCAGGACAAAAGGGATTTCCTCCCCCCACCCCCATTCTTTAAACCAGCCCTTGGATAGAGCTAGATAACAGAACATAGCATGGGGAAAAAAGTTGCAACTGGCTCCTGCCAGGTCCAGGTGCTGGGGAGAAGCACCTTGGCAGGCGAGGTCATCTGCCTTCCCCTGGACAATGAAGAACTGGGAAGGGGCAGCCAACGCAAAGCTGCTTCAAGAAAGAAAGCGTGTGTCACCACCAAAAAAAAGCATACAAGCCTGGGTTTGTAGGGAGTAGAGGTGGCTGGGGAAGACTATAGGAACTGATCCTGCCATGGCCATTTCCTAGCTGATAAATCCGTGGGGCTGCACGTTTTCTTTTCTGAGAACTTAAAATATTGAACTACGGCCTCTTAATTTTTTTCCCCCTAGGTGAAGACATGCAACCTTCATGTGCAATCAAGACCAGACGCGATTTGGAGAGAACTTTAAAGTTTCATTCTCGAGCATGCAAAAACACAGATTTGTCTTGTTTTCAACACTGGGGAGTACACTAGGGGAAAGAAATAGATTTAATCAAATGCAACTGTATTTTGTTTACAACAGTATTTTCCATCATTTACTTACTTTGCTCCCGGAATTGTATGTAGTCATTTTCCTACAGCATTTCCCTCCAAGGGTTGAAGCTTCATTTGTTCCTGTGAAGACCCTGTATTTCTACAAAGATTTTTTTCCCCTGAAGCAAATTATTTATTTTTTTTAATATGTGGTATTTCAGTTCCACTTAATCCACAAATATGTTTAACCAGCATTTGCAAGATTCTTTTATGCTATGTCCTGTTATCTCAGCACAGCCGACTAAGTTGCACACAGAATAAATACCGGGCTTTTGTTCTGAGCAGGGGAGATAGCTGTGCAATGATCAATCAAAAAATGCCCTTGGGGATGGGAGAGATTAGCACTTTGATACTACTGAAGATGAATGGGTGAAACGAGTTTGATAAGCTGGTGTTTTCCTCAGATAATTGCTCTGAAAGCTTTCGAAAGCTGCTTGGATCCTCCTCCCTTTCCCTTTGTTTCTGGATAGGACAGCAAGTCCTGCCTTTCTATCAGTAATACTGGACAGGCTGCTGCTGTTACTGTTTTTAAACAAACAGCAGTGGATTTATGCCACATTTCATCACTGACTATTGAATACTAAAATATTAGTCATAATTTAACCAGAGATTCAGGCTGGATTCCTACTATTCTTGGCCAACTTGGCTAGTCCTGCCAGCACGTACGTCAACGTCACTGAGCACAGCTCAACTGAGAAGGGACTGAGGGGGTGGGAAGGGGACTTCTCATGGGACACGGCCATCCTTCCTCAAGCTTAAATCTTTAACAGCAGCTCTTCTTCCTTCAGAAGTCACTAACCCTTGGTGCTCACAAACAGACCTTCAGCCCCCTGTCAACCTTTCTCTGGGCTTTCTATACCCAACACTGACCCGCTCTTAAAACTTCCTCCTCCTGGATCATTCTTTTGCAGCTACCCCACAGGATCGAACTGAAGAGGAACTTCTCCCGAAGCTGTAACACAAAACTCTTGTCAAGCTCACTTAGACCCCAGGTACATCCCTCTTCAGGCATGAGGCAAATCCTGCTGGCATTCAGAGACATGGTGCCATTTACTGTGCTAACTTATTCTCAGCTGCTAATGAAACTGGAGGCAAGAGATTTTACTACATTTTTATTGTTTCATTGAATAAATGAATTTTAAATACAGAATTAAAAATCTGTAAAAAAAGTTATTAAAAAAGCCAGTATTCAGAAGTAGGTTGCACATCAGTGACTGAAAAATTCATACTTACTTTTTGGTACAAAGATAGGAAAGAAAAATAAAAAAGCATATCCATCATCTGGAAAGAGATGATTTTTTACATTTCCTTTCATATTTGAGAACTGATATTTGTCTCATGAGAATCTCCCACCAACCTTGGTTTTCACAGCACTGATTCACATTATTTGGTGTTCAAAAAAACCCACTCTTGTTGTTTACAGAAGCAGCGATGTAGTATTTCCCCCTCTATGTATGGAAGCCAATATATTTAATAAAACGTCCAGTATATGAGGGGTGGAAAAAACCGCAGCATTATGTGATTTGCAGGGATGCAATTTAGATTACAAAGCATCTCTGAGCAGGAACAGGTTCTTCTGTCTCTCCCACTGATACCTTTGTGAGTTCGGTATTTCTTACAGTATCACATCTCTGGCATTTGCTCTTTGCTAAGCTCCATCACTGCAACAACGATTACCAGAAGTGACGAGTGAATAGGTACCTTCAATTTTTAATGCCTGGTTTTAAAGCAGCTTGATCTTTCAAGAGACACAGAGCACCCATCCTCAAGGATAAGAATCAGGCCCTTTTAGGCACAGTTTAAGCCCTATAAAACAGAGGCCCCTCAAGAAGTCTTGACATTGGGGTTCTGCGTTAGGGTTGGGAGGTGGGTTTTTTGCAAGTTTCTATTACAGGTTCTTAAAAAGACAGCTATGAAGATGATCCCACCAGTCAGTGCATCTGCATCATCTCAACCAAAAAAAGTAGACAGACTCTCTAATATATGCATCAAAACATCAGCACCACTCATACGGTACTCACAACAGGTTAGAAAGAATATGGACTATGGCTCACCTGTTCCTCAAGGATCTTAACCACCAAGAGAATTTAACCACACAGGCAGACAAACCACAGAATGAAATGCCCTTACAATAGAAACTAGGACTTTGAGATAATGAATAGGGGTAGCTACACATCAGCCTGGGGGGGAAAAAACACAGAGGAGGGACAGTTCACACTGCAACAGAAACAAATTCAGTTAAACAAAAGAAATAATACTGGAGATTGTCACTATAGTGCAGCTAAGACTTGGCAAATGAAATACTTTGAGTATGCACTTGCAGGGCAGCCCTGCTTCTGCCACATGAATAAATATCCAACAGTGTTTAAAAACAGTATATAAAAAAAGGCATCAGGATTTTCAGAAATGGTGCATGTTCCGTGCCCCGTAACTGCAGAGTAGGTTCCCTCACGTGAGGTATTTCAGCATCACCACAAAGGAAAACGATAGTTCTGCACTCCTCTTCCACAAGCGCAGTCTAATTCGAGCTGAGGTCGTATGATGATTATGCAGTGATGCGAGGTGCAAGCATTCTGCTCTACCCTCGTCTCTCCAGACCACAGTGGTCTCACTGTGCTATGTGGGATGAAAACGTGCAGTCAGAGTGGTAAAGGCTCAGTTCAGTACCCACTGTGCGACCAGATGCAGGCATGGACCTCTTATTTCAGCCACTGCACATCTTGGGAGTTGTTTTGTTTTGGTTTTTTGTTTGTTTGTTTTAAACAGACACGTTCACACAGAGTCTTCCAAAAAGAAGTTTAGTTCATGTGGCCAGGTCAGATTACTAACCTCAAATTAACTTCAGAATATTTCCTTAGTTATCCGTTGATATACAGGTTGTCCAGCAAATTAAATGCATGTTTTACCATCATCAATGGCAACCTGTACATTTGTTTTTCCATTACCAGCAGAGCTGTATGGGACAGGCATCTCTCCTATCAAACTGTACGTTTGAAAGGCTGCTGTCCGTCCCATACTTTTTTCCAAGGAAAGTTATTTTCTTGTGTTGCATATATGTATTTCACTGTAGTCATTAAATACAGGCTTGTTGGCTTCACATCCCATCTGGCCTTTTTGGAAGCATCCTTTTTCATTCTTCAAAGAAAATAACAGCATCTTATTAGTGAAACCCAGGATCACGTCGTCTTCTGGTGATGTGCAACAGTCAATAGTGGATCTTACCAAAGGGAGGTCATTAGTACCGCTGCAGCATTTGACTGTCTCTCCTTCAAAATGTGGATGTGATCAAAAGAAAGAGCAAATCCAGAAGAAACAGATGTCTTCTACCATCTTCAAGAAGATGTTTCTCCTCTTATGTTCCACCTTTGCTGCACAATCACTGCAGCTTTGTTTGCAGGGTTTGTTTTGGGAGGGCTATTTTGTTTAAGAATAATCATACCCCCTGCAAATTCTGCTACATAATGATAATTGCTGCTTGTTATCAACACCCCTGTCAGCATGCAGGCTTGTGTACTCTCACAGCCAGCTGTCATGGAAGCAGTAAATAAAGCTGTTTTTCCTTCAAAGACACAAGCATTGTCCAGTCTGTGACTACAGCAGGAACATCTCTATAGCTTTTCGATGCTTTCCAAAAACTTCCACCAAATGCTTTGTTTTGCTCATGCTTTCCTTAGAACATCCGAGGATAAGATGGGTTTTGCTTAATTATCCACTCAGCATGGGGATTGATGTGGTACAAATCTAAGAGGTAAGTGTCTGGGTCCAGGCAATGTTCACCTACCAAAACAAGACATTCAGAAAAAAAGCATTTCTTATATCCTTAGTCCTATAGTTGCTAGCTTCCTCCCCCCCAAAAAAACCCCCAAACCCTGGTATTTGTTCACATTCATTTCAATATCACAACCATTCAGAAGTGTTTCCACAAATCTGGAAAAGTTCTAATTATTTATGTTAAAATGAATGTATGTTTCTTAAAACTATACTAAGCCCAAGCTTTGACCTTTGTGGAAAGGTTTCTAACTTTAATACCCAATAACTTTAGCACTTGAAAACCATCATGAAATACGTTAGCGATCAAATCCAGAGTCTGAATTGTTTCCAGTGACAGAGCTTTTCTTCTACAGATGCTACCAAGAGAAATACTAAGAGGCAGCCAAAGCACTCCAGTAACTGACAGTCTCCAGAAGCAGCTGTAACAGGGCATAAGAATTCCTTTCCATTTTCAGACACCCCTAATGTTCTGCTGCAATCATATTATTTAAGTCTCCTCTCTATCTGATGACATTACCCTAGTGACGAGTGGAAATCGGTGACTAATGAACATCAGCAGCTTGTTTAACCATATGGTTTGAGAAACTTCCACCCAAGTCAGTACCAGTTCTTTTGTCAGACAGTTGATGAAGGCAGACAGAATTCACACCTGGAGCTGGCCATCATTAGTGCAGACGCCATGTGCCAGCATACCACGCTTAATCAAAGCCCAGATGAGAAGCACACAATTAAAAGCCTATAGTGGTATAGGATGAAGTTGCCCTTTACTTAAAACCATAAACTACATTCATCTAAGTTCTACACTTAATTCTACTACTTAATTAAAACATGAACTTTTATTGTTGAGAGAAGAGGGCGTTTAACATGGTACGTTTAACATTCTGTTTGTTTTTAAGATGGACAAAGTTGTGCACGTCTCTGTCCTCAAGACTTTTAGACTCCTGAGTTTCCACCTTTCTTGACGAGCAGCTTCTGAATAAGATCCATTAGTGTTAAGTATTTTTGGAAGTCCAGGCTTCAACCTTCCCACATACTTGCACTATAAAGGCTTTGCAGTGATGGCTGGAAGACACATGAGCTTTGACAGGTGCTCTTTGCTGTGGGTAAGGTTAACCCACGCTTGTTCATTTGTCTTTTAACTTTTGGACTCCCCTCTAAATCTCATCCTTTTTTTAACTCCCTCCTAAGATAAGTTAAACATAAAAAACTGGATATCAGAGTCCTTATTTTCAGTTACCACCCAGACTTACCAATATTGCCTCCCACTTCATAGAAGAGCAAGTTTGTGCACTCCATTGAGTTGTTACTGCAGAAAGAAAAACACGTTGAAGTTAACAAAGCTCTGCGAAAGGCAAGTTATGTAGTTTAGTAATGTTTCTTCCCCAAAATTGTTTATGGTTCAGAGGCCAGCAATGGTCAAGAAAGCTATAGGCCAAGGTACAGAGACCTTA